TATATTAATATTATTTACAAGATTAATTTCCTACTGTGATTCTAAGGAGCAAGATAAAGAGATATCAATATAAGATCTAGATTAAAAATACATTTCGATAATATATATAGATTTAAATATTATAAATTAATAAATTCAAAATAATTAGTTTTAAAATGGATTAAATTTCTTATAAGGTTTTTGTTAGAGTTGAATAATTAACTCGATTCTCAGTCAAGTTCCATGTTAGATTTTCATGATAATATTATAAAATTCTCTTAAATAGAAATGTTTTCTTGCTTGCGATATATTCAAAAAAATACTTTACATTTCATGTCTATCTATTTGAACTTCTTTTGGAATAAAATTATTTTTTATTAGCTTAATTGAGATGAAAATCTAATTTTAGCTTATTATCCAGAAAAAAAAAAGAATTGCTATCAATCAAAATGGGTATTTTGAAATAAATTAATTTTATCATCTAATATTAACATTTTTATTTAATTGAATAAATTAATCCTATATCTTGACAAATTCTAATAGAATTATTTGAATTAAATTCACTTAAAAGTTCGATCTATCTTTAATATGGATGAAAATTTAAACTTTTTACCTCAATTCATTTCACTTTATCTTTTTCTATTAAACAATGAATTTTATATATAATCTAATTTATTAAATAAATAGCAATTATCGAACTTTCAGTAAATTTTCAGTAATCTATTTTTTTTACTTAATTATGAGTTTGACACGATAAGCACACAATATATTGTGATCTGTAATTGAATATATAATTAGCTTTTATTAGAAATATTAAACTCTGACCAAATATTATTCTAAATTAATTATAATTTATAATGAATAACTAGTAAATTAGATTAAAAAAAGGAGAGAATAATGGGTTCTATGACTTTAGCTATATATCAAAAGTAAGTAAAATGATCATTAAGGATAGAAGCTTTATGGTTGAATTTAATAAACAGGCAAATTAAACTAATAAAAGATAATCAAGCAAAATTAATTAATAAGATCAATGATTTTATTAAAAGTTAGGCTTAAACAAAAGGTAGAAGAGATAATGCTTAAAAATAAACTCTCTTAACTAAGTAATACAAAGGTAGTTTACACAGCTAATAATAGATAGTACTAAGGTTAATTCCATTAGAGATAACTATATTTATTCACTAGAAAAGAAGTTTTTATTCTAATATTAATGATGTATTCAAACTAGATAGAGAATGATAATCAAATTATGAAGTAATCAGGATTTTATTAAATCAACATGGAATAAATCAAACAGAGCGATTCTTAATAATCTTATGAAAAGCTTAAATGTATTCATTCTTAATTTATTTAGAATGATGAATCATCAATTATTTAGATGCAAATTCAAGATATAGAAAATTAAATCAGAGCGCAATAATAAATAATGTTTTCGTTGTAATGCCAGTTTAAAACAAAATTAGGCTGTCATAAAAAATCATATATTAGTTAGTTATTAAATTTCATATTTTAGTTTATGGATGCATTATATTATCAAAATTGGTTAACGCAGTTTGATCAATCGTTCATTTAAAAAAAATTACTAAAAGGTTATGATGCATTTTCTTTAGCACTTGAACATCTAGAAATTGAAAATATTTCTACAGGTAAATGGGGTTGCGGTATTTTTCATGGGGATCTTACTTTAAAATTTCTAATCTAACTGCTTGCATTTTCATAAGCATATTAAGATATGATAAATAAGAATCAATTAGGATAAAATTAAATTTAAAGAAGTATCATTTTTAATTCATTTAATGATGAATAATTTGAATATTTGGTTTAAGAATAAAAAGCTTAGTTTTCTAAATAGAATTCGAGCATAAAATATATTCATTAATTAATTGAAGATTTGTCAAAAAGAGTCAATTCTAAAAAGAACAATTATGCGAAGAATTGATATATGATAGATAATAAATTGTTATCATAATATATAAATTTATCTTTATGTATTGTAGTTGGAAATTGTAATATCAAATCATCAGCGAACTTGAGATATAGGGAAATTGTATTTATTAAAATTTCCAAGCAATTCATTTCTAAATGACAATTTATATCATTATATGAAGTCTATAGGTTCATATCTAAACATTGATGTTATAATTTATCAATTTAAATTTAATTCTATTCTTTTTCAATATAACTATGACGAGATCTAAAATAGTTATAATTATAATGGCAAAACTGCTCAGATTAGTCTAAGTAAAATGTTCATCCTTTGATTTAATAAAACTATATAGTTCTTAGTGTAGATGGTTATAAATTATTAGTTCCACTTTCAAAGAAATTTTATATTATATTTGCACCAATATTCCACTATTTCCTTTGAATTATCTTCGAAAAATTGGTTAAAATTTGCTCAAATTAAAAAATCATAATAATTCATCAATGTTAACTAATTTTGATTTTCTAGTGTCAACAGAACAATATCCTAATATTTGTTAATTATTTCTAGCTAATTCTTTTTTCTTTCATTTAATCAATTACATGTTGTCACCATGCCATTATAAGGCCGACCGAAAAATAGAATATAAATCTATATATTATAATAGTAATCCTATTAATTATTTAATATTTCTCAAATGTAGTACTCACAAATGAATTAAATTGAAATTAGTAGTGAAGAATTTCCAATTTGAATTTGGGTTGCACGAGCGTAGATTTAGAGTAGGGAGAATAATTTATATCGTGAACAATTACAAAATGATTACTAAGGCTTATTCTAAGCTTTCGATAATATTGATGATACTCCAAAAATATTATAAAAAATTGATAAAAGAGATGTAACTATTCTAACAAGTGCAAAATGTGCTTATTAACTTGTTAAGCATACTAAATAAAATATGATAGTGTTTTGTGGAGAAAGATTGTACCATTTAGATTTATTCATTAAAAATTTCCAGATCAAGTCAATAGTTTCTGATTCATTTTAATCAGCTCATGAAAATGCTATTATGAGTATGAACTAATCTGATATTGAAAAAGAATTCATCAACCTATTATCACCTCCATAATATTAAGCCACATAATATCAACATTCAAAAGATCATGTGAGTATCTAATTTCTCGTTGTTATAGAAGAATTGAGAAAAAACAAAGAACCTAAAGAATAAGATGTCTTTGCTGAAATAGGGGATTTGCTTAATCTTCAAAATATTGATGTGAATAAGAAGAAGTTAATTTTTGAAGATTTAAAAAAGAAAGAAAATGAAAAGTTAAAACTTAAAAATATATCATTCGATTTATTTGAGAAATTAGTTTATCTCTATAGCAGAGAAGAGATTTTTTAAACATTTAAGCTAATAGTTTGCTTAGCATAATTATTAATAAATGAAAAATATCATTTTATGTCTTTATTAAGGATTTAAACAAAATAATAGCAAAAAAGGTGACATTGAGTTTCTTTTTAGAGGCGTATCCTTCTTTGATAAAGGAGTATTTGAATAAATAATTGGAGATCTAAATTCTTCCAAAAAAGAGGGGACATCATTATTTTGGAATACAATAACTAGCACATCGATGAATTTTGATATTGCACGAACTTTTGCAGAGAATAATTTTAATGGAATAATTTATTAAATCGAATTAGATGAGGATGTTCCTCACCCTTGCTTTAAGTTAGAATAATATCACTCTAAATATACTGAAGAAGAAGTAATATTATTCCCATAATTTCAATTTATTGTTTAAGAAATTAGGTTCAGGAAAATTACAGATTAATAATTCTATTATGTATTTATCAAACAAGTAAAGAATAATTATGCATTTGCACTGGATCCAATGATGAGAAAGATTTATTGGGACTCAATAGTTGAAGAGAAAATAAAGCCTAAAATAGAAACATTGGTGAATTTTCATAGTAAAAGAATTTTTGAATTGTTATCATATTTTGCGGAAGATATATATGATAAAGAAATATATATGGAAGAAATTATATATGTAATTGAAAATGAAATGGAAATCCTTTTTAAATAGATACAAAATTAGTTAACTAAAATTTTAAGTCACTCTCGATACACAAATATTTTGAATCAAATTGAAAATCTCACTAAAATATATACCTAAGTAGTGAAAATTGATTATCAAAATCAATCAGTAGATGGATTCTTTTTATTGTTTGAAGAACATATTGATAAAGTCTTCAAATCCTTAAGATAAAATATTTGCACATTGATATTAAAGGGAATAATAAACATTGATTATTGGAAGGAATAATTGCAGAATTTGTAAAATAAATTCAAAGAAAAATAAAAGAAGGATTCAACCATAAAAATTACTAATCCTTAGGGAACAAATGGTTAATTTTTATAATAATAGCTTGCTTATTAAGGAAATACTGCCGGATTGTCGTATCAATAATTAAAAGCCCAGAAAATAACTTCATTACAACAAGTATAACATAAAAATGGTAAATTTGCATATGAGGCTACTCTTTCTGATGGGAATAAATTGCTGATGCATCACAACCCAAATAACAATAATGAATTAACATTTACTAAAAAGATTGATGCAACTGGGAAAAATGGATATTCAAATAAATGGGAAAAGGTAGGAGAACCAATTAAGACTAAATCAGTAACAGTTCAAGAAGTCTCACAATCAATAAAAGGTTAGAGCGAGAAATTTAACATGAATGGTATACAAGCCTAAGAATTGAATTATTAATTCTAATAAGCCAAAATAAAAGGATAGATTGGAGGGATAATTGCAGGAACAGTAGGAAGTTTAACAGTTGACTGTATTTTGGATGGAGTGGATCAAGAAAAGTTAGTCAAAGGTCTTGCTTTTTCAACAGCAATTTAAGGAGGAATTATATATGTTTAAAGTGTACAATCTTTGGGAAAATTTGTACCTTATGTTGGTATAGGGTTAACTACTTTGATGACTAGTATTTCTGTAGGTGGAGTAGTTTTGTCTGATTTCTTAAGTTAGAGTGAAAAAACCTATAATTCTCTATTTATTGCTCTAAAAACAGGAGGAGCTATAGGATTGGGTTACTTAGGAATTGAAGGTGGAATGGCTTTAGGAGCTGCAGGAGGTCCAGTTGGAGTTGTGGTTGGCGGTATTCTTGGAGGTTTTATGGGAGGAGCAGGCGGTAATTTATTAGCAAGAGCTATTGATTACTATACTTAGTTTAATTTAGAGGTCAAATTTACAAAGGAGAATAAATCTGATGTTAAGGATGGATTATTACTATAACCAGGTAGACGTCCTGAAATTAGATGGAGTAAAGTTAAGGAGAAGGTGAACAGCCTTATTCTAATTGCATAAACAGACTCTCATATTGCCTGTTTAATTACAAATATTAACAAGAATCTTGAAGTAATTTATTCTGAAGAAGATATTGGAGTTTAATTTAATGAATATAAATATATAGGTCCTGATGATTCTTGTAAAACAATTACATTTAGACTTCTGGCAACGACTGAAGAATATGTCAATGATGAAGAGATATTGTAACAATTACAATGTAATTCAATCTGTATTATTGACATTGCAACGGTTAAAATTAATTTAGGAAATTTAGAATGATTGTTTATTTTATTAATAAATTAATAGTTTATTTCATCAAAATACAATGATATTGAGAACGTTTGTACTTTCAATTTTATTGAGTTCTATTATAACATGTTAAAAAATGTAATATACTTTATTTTCTAAGATGTAAATTCATCCTTTTACTCATTATATTATCATAATATTTTACCATAATAGTACTAAATTCTAGGTCTTCTAGAAATTCATAATTGTATTTAATCGCTTCTTTCTAAGGTAAACAATGTAGTTTCTTTTCTTTGGATCTTCTGTAACATTAAAAGTAATCAAAAATGAATTATCATAAATTTATGTTTAACAGTTTTTGAAATTTTAAATTATTTATTTACAAATATATATGATTTGATATAATTAATAAAAATGAGGTTAGGTTCAATTATTCTAAATTTCGACTTTTAATATCTATTAGATTTGCTCTTGCTGATTTTAAATTATTTGAATTATTGTGATACCATTATTAGTTACTGAAATAGTAAATACACTAACTGCAGTCGTTTGAGAGTTTAATAAAGCATAAATTGAAATAGCATTTACACTTCTTAAACAATAGTAATATAGCTTCTTTATATTACAGGAGCTGCACATAAAGTATTCAGTGTAAAGTTTTTTCCTTAGATAATCGCATTAATATCTAATCTGAACATGAAGTTAAGTTTTTTACTACACATAAAGTGTTTCAGTAGCTGGAGTTGCATAAACCTTATTAAGTTCAGTTATGACTACAGTAAAAATAGGTGCTGGCTATAAGGCATAATACTCAGTTTGACTGACTCTGACTGTTCTAATAATCCAAGGTAAAAAAGTTTATGTGATACTTCTATGGAAATAAATACTTGTAAATCTTAGTTTGGAGACATTATTGCCACCTCCTACCCCTATATTAATAAAATTTATTGATACATTTGCCATAAGTGTAATAATTTGAATATTAAATCCTCTTTACTCTAAGATTTATAGTTTAACCCCAATTCAATCCTTATAAGCCAATAGTCCAGTCTTTATCACTTGGGAAAGTTAATGTTGGACTAGTATACAAATCACCAGTATGGACTATTTGATTCTCTACGTCAATGGCATCATCAATAGATAGAAATATCTAATAGCCAAGTTTTATTAAATTAAAGTTGTTTGATTTGATCTAAATTACAACATCCTACAAATTGATACTTACGATCTAAAGTAGGAATGAATTAATACAGATAGTTCAAAATCTATGGGACCAGTGTAACATAATGATGTCACATGTATGATTCCCTTTGAGAAATTAGGATTAAAATGAGGGTGAGGTATTTAAATTGAGAAACTAGCACTTGATTATGAAATATCATAATTGACTATACTTATGACTTGGATTCTTCTATCGTCATAGGCATACCAATTGAAGGGAGTATCCCAAACTCTATGCTGATATAAACATCTGAGTAAGACTTTAAACTCTAAAAATAATGAAAAAATTTTTACTAGTTGTTGTTATTTCGGTTACTTCTATATCATATCCATTGGGTTAGTAATAATCATAATTATATTTGTATATTACAAATGCAACCTAAGGAGGTTTTTCAAATGTCCCAGAAAACGAAAACTCTTTCAAATAGTTTGTGTTAGGATATCCGAGAAATCCATCTTCATAATGGAATTAAGATGCGAATCCTGTATCATATGTGATGAATCCAAGGATAGTTTCTATTAGTATGGATAGGAAAAATGAAAGATTATAAAATTTCATATCAATTATTATTATTTAAATCTTAACCACAATATAATTCTTAAGAATTTTAGTACAAATAAATGATGATAATTTTGTATCCTTAGGAAAATGTATACCTCTAAGACTATTAACTTTAGTTGTTGTTTAAGATCAAATCTTGGTTGAATTGATAATTATTCAAAGGTATTAATGGTTAATAATGTTCTTATAAATTTAATTTTAATCAATAACTGTTTCTTAAATAATTTTCCTAATTAATTATTATTAAATTATTAATATAATTTTATATTGATTGAATTTAGTTAATAATAAATTTTTTATAAATGAGTATATAAATAAATTGTAGATATTAATAATTTTTAATGGTAATCAATTTGTTTATTCTAATCCTTATCCTATAATTATATTTAAGGTAAGAATTCTTCTGTTTATAATCAGTAGTATACACAGATACATAAAGCCCTAAAGCCTTTTGACTTTTTGGTCAATATTTTACAAAAAATATATGATAAGACATAAAAATTTTAGAACCCTGTATGTTTTCGTAAAAGTTTAACTTACATTTTTAATTAGTCTTCAAAAGAAAGGGAAATACTAAGAAAAAATTAGAAAAATGTACTCGAGCTGTGTAAATAATCGGATCAATATTAATTAAGCTAAAATGGCAATAAATTCATGCAAAACATTCAAACTGTAAGAGGATTTTTGGGTGTCTATTCATTCATTTAAATCATTTAATTAAAGACTTTAGTTTTTTGAAGTTGATATCATGGATATATTATATTATTTGATAACAAAAAAAATTCTTAATTAGAAATTAAATGAAGTGAAGAATACTCAGTATAATATTTAATTTTCAAATAGGATACTATATACATAGCTAAAATGATAAAAAATTAAAATTTTAATTAAATTGTGCTTTAGAAAATCCTCTAGTGATTATTGAGTAAATTATTTCAATATATAGCCTAGATTATAATGAGAAAATTATCTTATATATCTTATTTTTTATTTTATCAAATATTTAAAGATGAATTAATCTTATGGAGTAGGTTTCTGCTTCTTTTTACTACACATTCCAAAGTAATATTAAATTTGCTCAATAATTATTTGGGATATTTCATTTAATACACCAAAAGAAAGTAGAAAGATATGGAACCAACTGCATTTTATTTTTATTTCTTCATTAATATAATTAGCACCTTCTTATATATAAACAAAAGAGCTTTATGTATGATACGTAACTAATGTTTCTCTAAAAAATCAAGATGATTTAAATAACTTAATTTATCAATACAGAACTTTAAATTACCATTTATGCAATAAATGATCCTATAATTTTTCGATAGCCGTAAATTAATTTTAATTACATAAGATTAATTAAGGAAATCAACTCTAGTTATAAAACATCTGACCTTTTAAGAAAAATCAGGAAGCCTATGAAACAAAATGAAACTTTTCAAGATCAAAGTGTTTATCATCTGGTTAATAATACAATACTATGTCTCTTACATATCCTTATTCAATTTATATAGTTAAATTCGGAGCTATGTGATCTTTAATTATTAATTCAACCTAATAAAAGTATGTTGGCATAATTAATTCACAAATGTATCTATTTGAAACTACATATTTCACTCCATTGATTTTGATCTTTTGAAAGCCAATAATAAAATGCAGATAAAATTTCAACATTTCTCCTTATGAGGAGGCAATACTCCAAAATTATTAAAGAAAACAGCAATCAGCACATAAATTAAATAAATCATTAGACCAAGGGAATTTTGTTGTCCTTTCTTAAAGACTTGAGAATAGATATTAGTAAAAACTTATGTTTGAAAATTTTCCCTTTTTGCAAGGCAAATAATCAAAGTTGTCACAAGCTTCAAAATCTGATAGGCATCCTTCAATGTAAAATTGAAATTTTTTGATTCTACATTGTAACTCAAATCAATAAAATAATATACCAATCCATGTACTTCTTTGTAAATTGAAGAAAATTTTTTTTCTGTTGATATTATTAAATTATTGTATAAAAATAGAAACCGTATAGAGTAGGTCCATCTAATTTTGACAATGCAGGAGCATCATAAAATTGATTGTATACCTGGATCTCATCTAATTACACCATTATTTGCCCTGAACTTATATCATCAATTCTTATTAATAAAAACAATATTACAATCAAAATTCCATTTACACTTTTATTTGATTAGGGCTCAAATCTAAGAACATCCTGATATTGTATAAAGTCCATATACAGTTAGGCCATCTTTGGTAGCAAAAATAGTTTACCCTGTGAAATTTTTCCATCCTAGGATTTACTACATCATGGTAACCATCAAATCCCTAAGTAGTAAGACCAAATTTATAAATCAAATTTTCATTGTTCTGGACAGGGTAAAACCATTGTGATTATAAGAAATATAATTAACTTTAATTCATATTCTACCTGCTTTTGCTGCATCATTCTTTAAATTTTAAACTTGAATGCAAAGTAGTCATTTTTGTAAAATTTATTTATTATAAATTTTTCATCTAAGATCTAATTTAAGAATTGAACCCTTGGTGATTAGATGATTATTGAGGCTAGCATTTTAGAATGCCTGTTGATTATTATGAAACCCTCTGTAATTAATAAAATTGTTTAAATCTCAAGCAAAAATTTTAGAACAGCATTGTTGCAAATATATAAAATAATAGATTTAAATATTATTTTAATCAAAAAATAAATATTTAGTTGATTAAGAATAATTATTAATGTAAACTAATTATTTATTAGTATTTTGGTTTTAGTTTATTATATAAAAATAAATGGATCTAAACTAAATGGTCAACAAAAAGGTTAACGGCTTCTGTAAGCCATTTTGAAATTTCATGGATTTTTATAAACAATTTAACTAATAAATTAAAGGTTATTTGTTATTTCTAAAAATATAATATTAATAATTTTAATAATTATTGAAGAAATATATAAATTGACTTGAGAATTTCTTAGTGATACGGAAAATGAGGTCACAATAGTGATATGTAAAATTAAAATTACAATATATGCAATAATTTAGAAATACTGCAATATTTTATTTTTTAATTATATTATCCACATTAATTATATCCATATTGTAAATAAGGAATTTACACAAATTTGAAATAGGCCATTTTTAAGCAAAAATTAAGTATCAGATTCTGTTTAAGATTTGATAAATTATAGAATTCTTAGGACAATATTAATTATGAGAATGAAGTTATATCATTTTAATTAGTGATTATACAATTTATTTACAATTTTTAATTCATTGAATTGATGCCAACTCTGATTGCATCAGGTTTTTACAATTTCTTACCCAAAAGCAGAAACCAATTTTAATAATCTAAATGAATACTAAACAACTAAATTAAAATCGTGTAGTTATTTATTTTCCACCAAAATCAGGCGTCTCGTTTGATTTTTTTATATCCATTTTCAAATATAAATACAAAATCTCGGTTACATGTTTTTTTAACAATTAAAAATTTATATTAAAATACATTGAAGGAAGATGAAACAGACTTAATTCCTTTATTAAGAATCTATAAAAGAGCAAAAGGAATCTAAAGCACAAGTTAAAAAGGTAATATTATTTTTATCAGTACTAGTTTCATGGAAATTAAAAGCCAAATGCTTCAGAAAAGTAACAAGGAGATGGCCCAAATTAATCTACAATCTACTCATTAGTCAATTTGGCTGTGTAATTTTGAATAATATTATATTTTAGCAAGGAAAGTCAGAACGAAAAGGTCTTATTTCCTGAATCGTTGATTGCACAGTCCTCTAAAATCAAACCTTAAGTTATGGTTAACAAAAATACCGAAATAGCAAGAAGTTTAAAGAAGCTAAAGCCTCTATCCACTCCAGATGCCACTTCTGAGTTGATATAATTAGGAAAGGGGAATGGCTATGATCTATAATTAAATGGTCCGAAACTATAAGTGTATCTTAAGCAATTGAATAAATTAACTAATGGACTGCTAAAGAAAACTTAAACATATTTATTATTTGGATCAATTGAATAAAAGATAAGTCAAAATACTGTTTTGTGTATTTTGCGTATCCAAAAATTAAAATTTTTTAATGACTACAATTCCAAAAATCATAAAAATCCAGCATTATTTTGTTGGGAAGTTGTGTATCGAAAGTAAAGCCTGATGAAGACTCTCCCAAAGGACTACTAAGGAGCTTAAGGTGATCTACTCGATTTTGTCTACACAAAACATGGCAATGAGATTGTTGAGATAGTGTTATGGAAGGTGAAAAATAATGATGAAGTATATATAATTATTCATTTATAGAAATATGTAGGATAGTTTGATTTGATAAATGAAGATTATTTTGGAGCAAAGGAAATACTTGATTATCAGAGGAAGGTTATAAGTGAAAATTGGGTAGAGAAGGAGATGTTTAAAACTATGAAATAATCCAAATCCTATATTGGGAATGTGTAATTTTAAATAGTTTTGTTTGGAAATAATAAGATACCCTAAAGTATTACTTGATATTTTATCACAAGGTAAATACTCTGGAATTCCTGGCTCTCCTAAGACAGAAGAGGAAAGAGCAAGGCATCGGTTGATTGATTTGGCTATGTCGGGACAAGAGTATAGATGGTTCATTGATGAGAATGATAAACTTGTGATTCAGAAAATCGATACGATTACTTCAGAAATTGTTGCTGAGTGTACTCTTGAAGTTGTTACAACTGAATGTGGATAATTGACAATAGTTTACGAATAAAAATATAATAATCCAGATCTTAATGGTAGATCTAGGCCAAATTCAAGATAAATGAGAAAATAACATTTTGATGCCACTATGGCATTAATTTAGGAATTGGATAGAAATGGATAATTCACTGAAATATAAGCTAATCTAAGAGCTCTTAGTAGATAAGGAAGATTATCTAAAGGAGCTATTCAAGATGCTTTGTATCAAATGGGATGCACCGCTAACCAATTATTATTAACTGAATGTGGAGAATTTGGTGATTGTTTAATGGATTTTCTGTTAGTGACTGATGATTTATCAGGAGTTCTTGAAGCAATGCAAGAAATTAAATTGTTAGGAGAAGATGAATTAAATTTAGAGAATTTTTCTAATAATTTATTCTAACTTATTGGTTAACATTTGAGAAAGAATACAAATTTAAAGGCTATTATTTCCTTTATTAAAGCTTTGGAAAAGAAACCAGAAGTAGCTATTTTGATACAAAATTATTCTTATGCCTCTGAAAATGTATTAACCAAACAGCCTCCTTTCTTACAATGTATGAAAATATAACAATATAATAGATTTCAACCCAAGGAATTATGAACACGTAATGGTTTTGGGTAAGTTAAATAAAATGATTGAACTGTTTAAGATAGATACTAAATTTACAAAAGCTTTAAAACAGGCTCATGTGGAGGCAAAAAAATCAATATACTTTGAAATTCCTTGTTTTCCTAAAGATTAAGATTTAGAAAAGAAAGCTGATTCCTTATAACTCAAATCAATAGGGTAGAATATTATCCATGAAATTGTGAGAAGATAAAAATGGGAAAAAAGTCATCTAATATTTGACAGATATCCTGAGTGGTTTTTTGTTGCAGATTTCTAAGGAATTACTCCATTTTCTAGCATGTTAGAAAAAGCACCATATGATGTACTTCAATCCCTTTTTAATACCTATCCCACATAATTGAATATAGTTTTTTAATAATTCAATCCATATCAAGAGGCATATATAGGTGATGTTCCAATCAAGAGATCAAAAAATTCAAATGAAGAAGTTTAGGGAGGGCAATAAAAAAATAAATAAAATATTACAAAATAGTAACCTTTTGAATGGATGGCTTAGTAAAAAGAATATAGAAAAAACATATTACATTCTGTAATTTTAAATCCGAATTTAACAGCATTTGAGATTTCAGAAATATTGAAAACTATTGAATTATTAGTTAATCAATCAAATAATAACAATTTTTCAATTATTAAAACTCAAAAATTAAGAGCCGGAGATTTCACACCACTTGGTTTGTACTTAGAAATAATAAGATCTAAATGTAAGAAGAAGTTGGATAGAGTTTAAAGAGAATTTGGTACATCTTTGTTTATTTGTTAAATGCTGATGCCTGACTAAGATAAACTACAAGAAGAATAAGGAAAGAGTGATGCCTTGTTTACTTGGGATAGTTAGAGTTAGTTCGTAATTTAATCGATTATTTCAAGGTTACCAGAATCCTTATTCTAATAAATTGATGGGTTACTTCCATTTATGAAATGGATTCCCCCCTTGGAATAATTAAAATCAATTAGATATATACATTTACCTGTTAGATTCTTGATAAAACATAAATAGTAATAAAGGCTAATTCTACTTTTACAATAAATGTATAATGATATTAAATAATTGGAGTATGACACAAATAAATTAGAATCAGATGAAGTTGTTTAAATACTTTATTATTTTTAAATTTAGATTCTTATGTTGCTGGAAATAAGAAATCTTAAAACATAACATTTAGAATCAATATCAGATTTAATTGTACGCTAATTAAAGGATTTTTCCTAATCATTTACAGAAATTTTAGTAGTTTCTATGCCTAAAAATATTACCTCATCCTTTTATCAAATCAAGAGAAATCCAGGAACCTTATTGGAACTTTTAAATTTAGTTTAGTTCAATACACTAATTACAGACTTAGAGATCAAGAATTTAGACAGATTGGATACCATATTATTGGGATCAGCTTTATCTCAAGCTCATCATAAAAAACCTTTGAAAGATTTAATCAAAATTTTCTTAAAAAAGGATTAAGATAAAGATGATATTGGGAGAGATAATTATAAAAACAAGGAATTTTCAATAATTGTAAATCCAAATGAAATCCTAGATGAAAACGCAACTGTCTATAGAGAAAGTTTAGATAAGAAATAAGTTGAAAAGTTTCTGCTTTTTTTGAAGCCTGATTAAGTCCTATCTTTGGTAAGTAATGAATCAAAATTTAGCAGAATTGTTCATCGTTTAATTTTAAATTCCTTTTATACAAGAAAATCTGTTGGCATAACTTAACAGCAAATTATGCTGTGGATTAGAAATGAGGATTTAAGAAAAAGTTCAAAATGGAAAAAACTTTACATAGACTACTTTAGAAATAGAATGGATCTCTATTTTATACATTGCCTTATAGATATCGAATTTCCACAAACAAAGAGAACGTATATAAACTAAAACAAAATTTAACCTTATATAACCGCATAAGGAAATAGTTGGGCATCTCTATTAAACTACAAACTATTTACTCAAGCTCTTAAGGATAATTTCTAGTTTGTTGACATTGAAGATTCTATAAGAGCTGTAGCTATTAATGGATAATATGATAGAGTCCAGATCCTAATTCCGCATATAAGGGATCCTTAAATCTTGCGTTAAACCATACAATTAGTCAGCATTTTAGCAAAAAGCTAAATGACATCATAAACAGAATATCAATATTTTACTAAAAGAAAACTATGCACTATTTAAGAAATATTGTAAAGTGATGATGAAGGTGATGAGAATGAGTAAAAACCTAAAAGAATAATTCCAGGTAATTTAAATAAATAGGAATTAAAAAAATTGTTAAGAGATCGTCTTGATGAAACTTAAAAATCTAATTAATATGGTTATTTTAGACATTAAACGATTTTAAATTAGTATGTTATTAAGAAATTTGAACTCATTCCAATTAAACCAAAAAATACAATTAAACAGTAAAAAGAGAAATGGAAAATAGAGAATGTGAAATTTCCAGATGTTTTAGATTAAATCAGAACACCTGTATCTGTTTCAAGTTAATTACAAGAAATGAATTCCAATATACAAATTGAATTTGATTACTATCTGAAGTTGTAGTATCCTAAATATGAGAAAATAGATCTAAATAAATTTGAGTAACAATTTGAAAAAGATGTCTTAGCTTTTCGATATCTAAAAAATTGGAAATAAGCAGTATAAAGGCAAAATATCAGTTCCCTTTTCAGTTAAGGTTATTAGGAATCTGAAAAGTGCTCTTATAAGAATGTATTAAACTTATTAATAAACGAATTTAAAAAATATGGAGTTCCATTGTGTTAGAAGGATGAGGATTATGAAATAATTCTGTAGATATTAATGTTTTACAGAATTATAACAGTTGAGGATTACATCAATCAAATTATTTCTAGTAACAAAGATGACAAAACAAAAAATAATCTACTTTTTGGAATTTTAGAATAATTACTTACTTGCAAAAATAACCCGTAATTTGAAAGATATTAAATGAAAAATTAAGATATCTACATCAAATTGATTGGGTTGATTATTAAAAATCTAAAAATTTTAGATGAAGATGATTCAGAATTTATGATTTAAAACATCATAGTATAAGTTCAACTTACACTTGAAAAAAGTAAAAAAATCAATATAAATCCCTTAAAACTTTACAAAGTGAAGCTGGCAAGTGAGATGTTAGTTAGATTAGATTAATCGAGAATAAAGGACTAATTCAAAGATAATATTAGTATCATAGCTAAAGTTATACGAGATAAGAATTTGAACGATAAAACATTATAATAATTTGCTAATGGATATTTACCTCAATAGGCCCAAGAGATTAAATAAAAAAGAGAAACACCTAAAGACATCATATCCTCATTTAAGAAGAAAACTTTGGAAGAACTATTAGAATAAGTTGATCTCACATATTACGTATCAAAATTTTCTGATAGAGATTGTGAGGATATTGTTAAGGAACTTTTTAAACTTCCTAGAGATAAGATTAAAAAAAAAGAAGTTCTGAGGAAATTTGATCGAAAACTTATTGAATCATTAATTTTCTATAGGAGATTTAAGACATATGACGCTTTGATTAATTAGATCTTGTTAAAGAAAATATGTTAAAAAGGTTTAGATGAGGAAAAATTAAAAAAATAATTTCTTTTATTTGAAGAGTATGATATTAAAGCTGGCTAATCAAAAAAAGAACTAAAAGATAAGGTGGAATTAGGAGCTGGTGATAAAATTGAATAAGAACCAAATGATGAGGTGGTTTAAGAAGTAAATGATTAGGTGGTTTAAGAAGTATATAAAAAGGTGGAATAATCAGCTCCTAAAAAGAAAGGGACAGAGACTACAAATGATTCTATGGCCAATATAGCAGCCTAATTTGGATTCTATGAATATTTTGATACTCTCCATAGGTTGAATATAAGAATAAATGAAATGTAGAAATTCCCTTGTATTAGATTTATGTTGGAGACGAATGATTAATTATAGACTTTAGCTGAGGATTTTGAGAGAAGAGATTTTAATTACCTTAGTAATTGTATCAAAATGATGAGATATTTACGATTAAACCACTATGAGGCAAACGCTTTTTCATTATATTTTGAAAATGAGATCATGTAGAGTTTCTTAATTTAAGATGTCTCATAAATATCTACTCCATGTATGAACATTATTAAACAATATCTAATGATTAAAGGAAGATCATAGCCTATTTGGTAAGACTCATTAATTTAAAAAAAGTCAGAAATTCAATATCCAACATATGTGAAAATGATATTCCAAAAAAAAATATAAGAACATTCATTGATTAGATTGAAAGTAAGTGGAATTGAAAAGGGAGTTAAATTCTGTTACCCTTCAAATTATGATCCTGAAAGCAATGAATATTCTATAACAAAAGAGGATATACGTAAGACTTAAATAAGAAGACCTATAGTTTCAATTGATTAATATATTGAATGCTTAGATAAAAATCATCCTTTAAGATTAGATAATTAAATGATAAATGATCCTGAATTTTAAAAACATTTAAAAACACTTTAATTACCTTATTAGAATTAAGAATTTATAGTAGATAAAATTAATGTTATTTAATTTTTGCAATAGACACTTTATCATGATCATGAAATCTATTATTATTTGCTAAACTTCCCTTTGTTTTGGTATGATTAATAAATACCCAAAGAAAGGTTAATCATATTTACTTTCTTTTACGAATTAGAACTTGGATTGGTCTTTTTTAAAGCTTTATTAATACATGAACCAAAGAAATTAGATTTAGTATTAGATATTTATTTTTATTCCTTGAGAGAGTATGTTACCAGTGGAGATGAAATGCTAGACGACGATAGGGAACAGTAGACATATCATATAGATAGTGATTGGGAGCATTATGAACAAGAATAAACTGATAATGAAGAAGAAGATTCTGAATAATAGAGATAGGATGATTAATAAGATAATGCTAGAAACCAGGAATAGAATGAATAGATTCCTAATGATTAACAAGGATAAGAGCTAGGTAAAAAAAAGAAAAAAATTAAAGTGCTTAAAAAAAGAGTTAAAGACTATATCGAATTAAAATATGGATTAAGAAGAGCGATTACAAAGAAATGCTCTAATTAAGTAAAATTTTCAATTTATCTCTAATTATTATTACTTGCTGCTACTAATGAGGAATCCTTTTAGCAAGTTCAAAAATATTTAGTAGAAAATAAAGCATTGCCTCCTTTATAGCAACCAAAAGAGATAGATCCACTGGTATAATCTAGATTAATAGAATAAGGATACAAATAACCTTATAATAAATAATTCATTTAATAAATTGACTAGAAAATTAACTAAATTTCTTAATAATAGCTTGAGGATATTACACATTTGTAAGAAATTATGAAATTCAATCAAACTCTAAAGGAAAAATAGTATAGCCTTGTGTTTTAGTTTTTAATTTTCCAAGTATACAATAGCCAATATTCAGCCTACTAGAATGTTATTGATAAGTTATTAGATCATCCTGCTTATGTATGTTTGTCCAAATAAAGAACTTAAATATTCTCGAGTTCTCTCTCTAATGATAAGCAATTCCAAGAAGAAATAATCAATTATCATATAAAAAATAGGTTAATAAAGAATGAGAAGTATTACAAAGTTAAGAGAATTTAAATGACAAGAGATTTTGTAGATAAGTTCTTTGAAGCAAAGTCTAATCAGTAATTTACAAATGATAAATGGATACACATCATTTGTTTATTAAAATATTGTTCTGAATTAGAATATCACTTTCTTCATTTTAATGCCGTTGAGAATATTAAAAAATTTCAAACTCTTTTTCATCTAGAAAATGACCATATTGATGATAATTATGAAAGCGGTTACAGCCCTGGGGATACATTTATTTCATCATATTTCTTTAAATTCGAAATCACTAATAATTTCACAACTCCAACTTACGAATACAAAAAATAGAGATCTAAATTTCATGGAGGATTTTTTTCTTATATTTTTTCTGTTGATATAACTATAAATATCTTAAGAAGTAAAAATCCTAATAATCCATTTCCAATACCTTTTTTGTATTCAAAAACTTATGATGAATTGGAAAAGATATTTAGAATTTTTATGTTTGATGCCGCTATTCATAACTTCCTTTTAGATTAAAAAGGCAGATTCAATGAAATGTATAGAATATCTGATGCCGATTAGGTTGATAGTTCAGTAGGACATAAGAAGTTAACAATAGAAAATTATTAGCAATTTTCAAAAATTCAATATATTGAATTATATTATTTAGATAAATGTATTTAAAGTTTTAACAGTAAAATAAGCGAAAAATAAAGTCTAAGATACTACATAGAATAAAGCGAAAAGGAATTTAATGATATAGACACTAATGAATATCACCAAGGGAACTTGTCATACCCAAATCCAATAAATATTAGAGAGATTAAAATTCGAATAAAGGATAATGTTTATAGTAAATTATGGTTTAATTATATCTTAGCTCTTCCGTTTAGTAATTATAAGCCAAGAATTCATAAATAATCCAATTAGAAAATAGAATTAGATTTAACTTTTCCAGAGTTATATCCAGTTACTATATTATAAGGTTATAAATACATTCCTGATATAATTACTGAAGCAGAATTTAATCAAAAATTTGATTCGTTGTCAATTCTATATTCAACTTGTGTAAATATTTATTTAAACTTAAGATTGAACTAAACACCTATTCTTAATAATTATATGATTTTGTGACTAACGTGCCTAGCAGTGAAGAACTTTATGAGGAAAATCCAAAGCTTAGAGATGTAATTTGGCCACTTGTGCAAAAGAAAAACAAGTTGGCTAAAGGATATTCAGATAAGTTTATCTATACTTATATTTCTGAATCTATCCCTATTTATTTAATTTAGTTTCTAATTGAAAATTTGAAAATTGAATTAAACCACAAAATTTAGTTTACTTTTAATTGTCTATCCTTTACTGAAATTATATTAATCAAATTAATTCGAATAATTCAACAAAGCACTGGGAAAAGTATAAAATATTGTATAAAATAGTATGTAAAATAGTCACTGCAATCACCATATTGTAAGAATGGCTTTGGCTTAAGAAAATATTGATTACTATTGGAAACATTATTGTTGAGAATGATTTAAACAAATTCATCTCATATTATGTAGAACTTGATGAAATTCATCCCAGTTATGTAAGTTATTTTTACTATGATCAAAGGCATTTAAATTTAAGTCAGATAAGCTTGAAGGGATGGATTAATTATTTAGATTTGGTAAATCCCAGTTCTTTGTACATTCAAACGTCCTCATTATTAGATTAAGTATTGCTTTGGTTTCTGAAAACCTATAATCAAAGCAAAACTCAAGGAACTTTAAGTTACATCAACTCAAAAGTACACTGTTCTCAGAAGATATAGAGATAAATGTATATTTTACCTAATATCTATTTAGAAATATATGTAATTTATTGTCACTTTTGACGAAATGTTAAAATAAATGTTCAGCAAAAATTGAAACTAATATAAATATAAAATCATTAAAAATTAATTATATATAAATCTCAATCTTACTCAGATTTATCATTAAGAAATGCACATTTGTGGCTTCTAATTTCTAAATTGTTCGATTAGTAACTCAAAACAAAAATTAAAAGTTAGAATATTAAAAATTTTCAATAATAACATAATTAACCTATGCTTTATCATATAGGTTCATATTCGTTAATATAAATTTTGAATTATGCTAAAATATTTAGTTTAAATAAGTTATTGAGACAATATTGTAAGAAAGGACAAAATTTCCATGCTCGCTGGGATATAGAATAGAAAAATTTAGTTATTTTGATCATATGAAATTAATAATTTTATCTAATTTAATCAAGAATAACTCAGATTAACTAACTTAGAAATATTTTCCATTTTTAAATAATCTAAAAGTAACAATATTATTTAAGACTAAAAATATTATTATATATATGTAAAAATTTAATAGTTAAGTTACAAAATAATCTAATATAAGAATTATAAATATTATTAAAAGTTATTAGACTTTTTATCGAATTTAATATATCATCAATTAATTATAAGACTAGTATCTTCCATTAAAAATAGAACTCATGTATTGTATAGTTTAACTCTTATGATCCCAAAAAATTAAATATGAACAATCATTTGTGATAGTTCCATAAATACTATTCGTATTAATACTGAATCGTTCAATGTAAGTTTTATGTCTTAATATCATTACATTCTTTAACTTATTATAAATAATTTGAAATAAGCAAATATCAACAATAGAATTCTATAATTTAATTTTCTTAATTCTCTTGAAAAACTTCCTCTCTCAATTCGAATACAAACATTTTATTTATATTAGAATTGTTGAAAAATTCATTATTTAATTATCAATAAAATTAACATTAATTAGCATAATCAATCGATTTAGAATAATTTATCAATATTTTAATCTTTACAAATTATAACAATATATTTAAATCTCATTATATTATTTAATCCTCTTTCCCTTGTAATAATTTAAACCTCCCCATCTGCCCATGAAACTAATAAACTTTCCAATAATTTAAACTTTCTTAGTATGTCATTTTTGATAGAAATTTCACTCTTAAATTCATTATAATTTTTTTTACTACAAAATTCTTTTATTCTTATCAGAAGAACAAAATAGAAATGCGTCTTATTTTTAACTATAAACTAAATAGTTCACCCACCTTCATGCTATATATATATATTTCAAATTGTTGTCATTTTATTATTTATTGTAATTTCTATATTCATTGTGAAAACTGCAATTTGTATATCCTAAACCTATAGATGTAAGGTTAGATATCTAATCTGTAGGATTATTTATCGATGAATCTGATTTTTAAATTATAATTGATTTAATTCTGATGACTTGATTTTGAAATAATTTAATTTATTTAATGTTCATCATAATTATGATTTCTAAATGATTCATTTTCAATTTTCGTTACCAATTATTTTTTGTATCCAACTGCTTTGTCATCAAAAAACAGATTTCCAAGCATTAACAAAGACGTCTATTTTCCTTAGAAACCTGAGGATTAAAATTGACTTAAGGCAAATTATTTTGAAGGTCACATTGTAGTGTTTTCTCATTTTCTATCATTTTGGTTTAAACACTATCCACAATATAGTATTCCAAAATTTCGTAATTGAAATAATGATATAAAATTGCATTACTTAATAAATCATATAGTAGAGTAATCAAATTCCAAAAATCCAATATGCTTATCTTAATTTCTTAATTTTATTTATTGTCAATGAAATAATTATTTGATAAAGTCTTAGTGATAAGCATGTATAAGCATTTAAGAAAGCATTTTTTATTTCAGTGTAAAGCATATATCAATAAAATTAATGATGTAAATATTAAAATGATTACTAACAAGATAATAATATTTTATTAAAAATGAATAATTTTTGAATCCAAAAATTTATTACAATTAATAGTAAAGCATAATTAAACAATTTAAGTTAAAAACTTTACCCTAAAAAAATAA